TATAAATTAAATTATATAAACTTCAAGCAATGTTAAAGATTATGATATCATATAAGAATATGTTGTTCATTTAAATAAAGTGTTAAAAAAGTATTTTTATTATAGAAAATGTATATTAATAGAATGAACTACATTACATTTTATTAGATATTCAAAACCTAACATATTTTTATTTTCTGTTAAAAGTATACATAAAGGGATACATTAAAACAATGTTTTACTATTGTTTGCTTCAACAGAACATATTTATGATTATTTCTTAAACACAATTGAAGGGATATTATATAGTTTATTAAATAATTACACCATAGCGAATAATTATATAGATATTTATAATTTCAAATAAAAATAGTCAGCAAAATTTAATTTCAAAATTATACTTAATTGCTGTTTTATACATATGACATATAATATAAAATATTATTTTATAATTTATAGAATTCACATATCTAGAATATTATATTACAATTTTATGTCGATTTAATGAATGGATAATACTATTTAAATTTTATACGAATAAGTATTTTCCATACTTATATTAAATACATACGTATGCACACATATTTAAACATTTATAATGATTATTACATATAACAAACGAAATTACAAGCAAATTTTCCCACGTTTATACAGTGTACATTTTATTATTCAATTATATGTATACGTGCACGTGAGAATAATTATGATCATTAAACAAAAATTTTTCTAATTTATTCTTATTAATCATTGCTATTTCTCAAGAATTTATGTAACATAAATATAAGATCGAATACCTACCATTTTATTGAAGGAAGTTCGAAATATCTCCGATCTCGCGCAAGTATGTGTATATGTAACATTGTAAATACTAAAAGCAAGAAAGTGAAACAGAGAAGGACAGAGTGTAAAATGAACGCGGCGTGTTCGTACGAAAATAGAAAAGCGGGACGAAAATCATTTAGTGTTAGCCAACGTGCCGCTACCCCAGTTCCTTGTATCCCTCGCTTCATTCCGTTGTATGCGTAAATAAAATGACGCGAGTCCCGATCAGATCCTCGTTGAAAAGCCGAGATTCGAATTCGACATTGACCGATCCGGATCTGAGAGAGCGCATAAAGGATTGTTGCCGAAAATTGGTCGCGTTTATGTGCACTCAGGTTGGCGTTGGTGGACTCGTGGTTGGTTACGCTATAATAGGTGCTTTCGGTTTTATGATGATCGAATCTCAAGGTCAGATTTCGCCGCCGTCCACAGTTTGCATCCGCGAATTAATAAGAAAACAGTTCGCCGAAGAGTTATGGCTTGGCACTGCTGGCAATCAAACCGTAAACGTGTTCGATAAAACGGCGTTTCACACGGTGTCAAATCGAATTCTACGCCGGTATCAAGACAATTTCACCGGCGATTATAAGAAGGAGAATTGTAGCGGGTTAACGTCGTCCGATCTCTGGTCCTTTCCAGCCGCGATGATGTTTTGCCTTTCCGTGTTCACGATGATCGGTTATGGAACACTGGTGCCTCAAACAACCTGGGGAAAGGTGGTCACCGTTATTTACGCCGTATTGGGGATCCCACTTTACGTTTTGTATTTTCTCAACATGGGAAAAGTGCTTGCGCAGACGTTTCGTTCGTTGTACACGTGGTTATACGAATGCTCCGGTAAACGGAAACCTGGCCAAAGGATCACGGTACCTTCGACCGCCTGCCTTTGGGTGATATTCGGATACGTGTTGAGCGGTTCGATAATGTTCGCCGAGTGGGAAGGATGGAATTATTTGGACAGCGCTTATTTCTGCGTGACATCGCTATGCAAAATTGGGATGGGCGACCTTGTACCTGGTTGGACGCACGGCGATTTAACAGCTGACAGTCAAACCAAATTGATAATTAATTTTGTTTATCTGTTACTCGGTATGGGACTTATCGCTATGTGTTACGACTTAATGAAAGAGGATGTTTACGTGAAAGCTAAAGAAATAAAGGAACAGTTTCTCGAGATCATCGATGCCACTCACTATCAAATAGAAATGTGTTGCAAATCGGAAGTATTGAATTAAAGTTTTTATATCAATCTATCGATTTGTATCAAAAATTTGAATAAAAGAGAAATACGCTTTATTTTTATAAAAAGTATTTGAAGATAAGATAGATTTGATAAGATAAGAGATAATCGTGAAATTATTTTTAAAATTTAACTATTTTAACGTGTATTGTATAATTCTAATAAATATACATATACGTATATATTAAATATACTTAATATGAAATTCGTATTGAAGAAAGAATTATCGAATTTTGAATTAAATGTTTGTTTGTTTTTTTTTTTTGTTTTTTTATTTGATTTTCGTCAAATTAAACAATACATTTACAAAGTAAAATTTAAGTATTATCAAAATGATATATATAAATAAGAGACAATGAGTATCTAAAACAATGATATTAATTTTTTTATAAATATAAAATGAAACTTTCATTTTTACAATTAAATGTTTATTTAATTTAAATTATGAATTTTAGAAATATAGAATATTTATTTTTTATAAATAGTATACTATTACTATAACTTAAAGTGTTTCCTTAAGTATCATCTGATTAATTAATTTGAATTATATTTTATAGCATACAGTGAAAATATAAAAGGAAATTATATTAAAACATCAAAGATTTAAATCATTGTATTTCTTTTTTTTTTTTTTTTTGATATTTAAAAAAGAAGAATTTCAACAAATGTTGCAATTATTCATCAAATTGAACAATTTTACAACATTCTTCGACATATAGTTTCAAGAATATTACGGAAAAAATAAAATAAGTAATAACATTATTACTCATCATCTTTAATTTTGATTTTAAATATTTATATTTAATTATTTAATTTTAATTATAGACGAAAATGATTGTTTTTAATACATATATATATATTATTATTTCTTATATTATATGGATTTTACTATTCAATTTAAATATTATATTATAATTGTAAATAAATAATTAAAAGTGCTTCGTACGTCTTACTTATTATTAAATGATTAAAAAGATAAATATATATATTATAATTACATTGCTATAATTTTATAATGTTGAAATCTAAAATTTTTTTATAACT